CTGCCTCCCTTATTAATGGTACCAATACATGGGTTCTACATGAGTTCTCCTCCAGAACACAATGTCAGCACACTGCTTTTACCAAAACAACAAGAAGCTGCTGTGTTTCAGCTCTTTGCAAACAGTCGCTGTGAAACAGTTCACGTAAAACGACCGCATCAGGACTGAGGCCAAAGGTCAGATGAGAAGAAAAGATGAAAGGCTGAATGACCTTGTGAGTGGAGGTGAAGTTTTCACCAACTGAACTTCACCCTGTCATAGTTTCCCCAGGAGGCGGAGCTTATTTTCCATGACATTAATTTAACGTCAATGATGCGAAAGACAAGCCTTTAAGTAGAAGTATTTAGGAGCTGGAGGAGATCCATCAGGGTATCATCACCCCCATCATTATCTTCATCGTCTTCATCATTGTCCTATTGTTTCTCCTCCCGGCAGGACGTCCACTACACAACCAAACAACCACCAAAAGGCCCAAAGACGCAGCAGCTGTCTTGGCAGGTAGCCATGTTTCTCCAGGGAGGAACAGACATGGAGCACGAGGAGGAGGAGGAGCAGAAAAAAGGGGGACAAAGACTGGATGATGATGATGATGGGGGGTGAAAAGGACAGGGACAAACAAGTGGAGTTGGGTGAGGAGAATAGAAAAAGGAGGACAGGTGCAAGAGACGAAGAAGAAAAAAAGACAAAAAGAAGATTAAAAATAAAAACAAGAGGAGGAAGGAAAAGAATGAGGAGCTGCTCCTCCGCCTGGAGCTCCTTCACACGGAGCATGGATATAATGGTTAGATACTTGTTCTATTCAGTCGACAAACGAGATGTTCACTCTCTGGTTGAGCACTTATTAATGATGTCACATTTTAACAGAGGTTTAACTGAGCAGACAACGTTGATATATCTGGTCCTCCAGCAGAGGGAGTGTTTAGCCTACGTGCTGTTAGCACGTAGGCTAAACAGTCATTCTAAAGCGAGACAATGGTAACATGACTGAGTAAATAAAAATGAAAAAGAAAGATTGACACATGTAGTGGACGGGACAAAAACATTTTCTCTGTCTGAGAACGGTGAAAACGTGTATGGATATTTTCTCAAACCCCTATTGTCCCAGGTTCACTCCGGAACAATACTCCCACTGCAGATGCCACAGCAGCCTGAATTCCGAGGACTTTAGACCGTGGACAATGTAGTCAGTGGTTTATCAGCAGCATCAGTGTTGAACGCTAGAAAACACTTAGCTGAAGAAGGACTCGAAACGACCGAGTGGAGGCTGACTGAGCAATGACATCACTGATGTCCATGTGTCCACATGTCCACACACAGATGTTGATTGATTTTAAAATATAAGAAGTGAATGAAGTAAAAGAGTCAAAGCTCTGTGTCCTCTCTGAGGTCAGTCCAGTTTCCCTGCCTCAGCCCCCCCCACTCTTCTCTTCTCAGTAAGTCTTTACCAGCACAACAGCGGATATTACAGCCTGGAGCTGACGCTCCCTCATTGGAGGAGAGGAACAAATAAAGAAGCTACAAGAGGTGAAGACATGTTTGGAATGGAAGAGAAAAACTAAATGAAACCAACAGTTCACAGCCCGTGATCAGGTCAACCTGCTGCATACACACACAGTACACATATGTTGTACTCATAAATATTTTCTTAATGACTTTTATTAAATTAAATATTAAAAAGAAGTGAAAGAACAAAGACAAAGCTGTGATGAGCAAAAATCTAAAAAAAGTCTTTTGAAAGACAAGGTGGAAAAAATATAAATAAGATATGAATAAAAACATAAATTATTAAAAGTCAAATACAAAAATATCTTATCTAATATATAAAATAAAAATCTAATATATAAAATACAGATGGATGGTGAAATACAATATTTTTCACTAAAATATAAGAAAAGTAAGAAGGAAGGGGACACGGGAGGGGGAGGAAGATGGTGAAGGGGTGAGTGAATCATGTTCGTTTGCTGGTAACAGCCTGACAACCACCAGGAGCTGGAGGAGTCGACCTGTCCTCACACTTACTTCACCACAGGGGGACCACGGAGAGGACAGGAGGGAGGGAGAGAGAGAGAGATGGGGAGAGGTGGGAGAGCGAGCCTTGTTCAGGAAGTTCAAGCAGACAGTTCTAATCCCCCAATTTCCTCCTTTCTAATCATCTCTACTCTGCTCACGGTTGTTTCCAAATTGGAAACATCTTCAGCACAAAATGACACACACACACAGACACACACCCCTGTGGTGTGATAATATGACTCACTTCCATCCTCTGACTGAATCACTGCTCATTTCATCAAATTCTTTGTTTGAATCTGAAATACTGATTCAAACAAAGACTGTGAAGACACAAGGAGAGGGGGGGATGGGGGGGGGCGGGGGGTAAAGGGATGGTGACCGACCTGCCTGCAGTCCACGTATGTCTCCTATTGAAATTGTGTGGAGCTCCATGAAGGGCAGAATCAGATGAAGGAACGAGTGAAGAGAATCTGCATCACTTTAATTTTTCTTCATAGAATATCATTTTAACGACAGCTTTTGCTCTTTTATCTTTTGTACGTTTGTAGATCATTTTCAATTTTTCTTCCTCCAAAGTTCTATGACTGAAGAATGGATTATTCACTCTAACAACCGAGAGTCAACTTCAAACGCGTCTCTAAGAGGAAAAGATGGTGGAGATCAGACACAGGAACAAACTAGAACAAACGCTGGGTTCAAACAGACGTGAAGACAAACGTGTCAAATGGATTTGTCCAGGAAACAGGACTGACACCCAGGACAGTCCTCCAGTCCATTCACAGCAGGATCACCTACACTCATTCACACTCTTATTCACACTCACTTTCACAACTACGACTGATTTTTAGTTATTTTGTTAAATACTCTGTATTTTTGGCTCAAATCAACATTTTCACCAAAAAAAATAAATGTTTTTGTTGCCTTCTCTTATTTACACATGTTGTAAAGACATGATGAAAAACATGAATTTGGTTAAAAAAATGACAAAATTAATAATTAATTAGTCAAGATAATATTGGAATAAAAAAATATCTACACGATTTTTGTGCAGATTTTTGAAAAGAAAAATAAATTTAAAAAAAAGAGAAAACTTTTCTTTTTTATTCTATTTGCCCAAAAATGTCCTGTGAAAATGTAGTGTCGTAAATATTCTGCTGCAGGACCAAAGAAAGTCTGCAGGTTTGGAAAGTAAACTTACAGCAAGCGTCCCATTTACTTTGTCTGTGTGTGTGTGTGTGTGTGTGTGTGTGTGGGGGGGAGAGGGGGAGCGGGGAATGGGGGAGTATTTGTTCTACGGGGGTAAAATAGTAGTTTGTGTACTGATAATGGATTATGGGGCCGTCACTTGTCGTCTCACAGCAGTCCTGTCAACTCCTGCAGCGGATGAATACCAACTACGTCAACACACACACACACGGACACACACACTCTAATTTAATTCACACAGCTGTTCATGTCAGGCCTCCGCAGCCTCTTCCATTCATTCATTCACTGTTAACACAAACTAATCCCTGAGCTCTGACCAGAATCTTTAAATGTAAAATGATTTCTTTATAAACAAGGTTTTTTAATCACTCCCCGTCCGGAGAAAACGAGTATAAAGATTTAAAGACAATTTAACTAATTCATTCATGAACTAATTCATAAAAATGACAGAAATATTTTATATATATATATGTTTTTAGTGAACTTACAGTTTATATTTACAATATTTATTTATAACATCATTTATATTATTAATTTACAATATATCTTACAATATTTACTTAAATGAAAATTGACGTTATTGTATTGTATACCTGATGGTATTTTAATAATGTCCTCCAGAAAATTCTGCTGTAAAAATGGTTGGGTTTTCAAAAATGGTGAACAATATTTTTGAAAAAAATATGTTGTTGTCTGTATTATAGATTATTTTTTCCATAATAATTTTAATTTCACAGTTCCTATTTTGGAACTTTTTTTAGATAGAGGAAAAAAAAGTTCTATTTCCAAAAGGAATAAAATAAATTGTTACTTTTTTAAGGCCAAAATATTTATTCAATTTTAAATGTTATATTATTTGAACTATATCTTAAAATTATAATTTTTATATAAAAATCCCATCAAAGCTGTTACAGATTTTATCCATTCTATTGTAATAAAAATGAGAACTCAATCAAAAACATCGTGAGAATCTTCTCTCCCCAGGATTTAAAAAACATTCAAACCTAATATTAAAGTAAATTAATTATGGGTTACTGTTACAGAATCAGTACAGATTAAAGCTGCTTTAGTAAATTTTAATCTGATAATCCTCTTTCTGCTGTCGGGTGCTTTAACCTTCTCTGCGTCTGTGACTGTGAAAGTGACGCTCACGCCAATTAAACACAGGATTATGAACTATTTAGCAGAAAATAGAAAAACTGAAAAAAAGGAAACAATATAAAAACACATGTTTGATACCAAATATCCTAATGAAAATAAAATTTTTTTTTTTTATTTTATTATTTTGTTTTCATATGGCCTCCAGAAAATGTATTTGTTACTTTTATTTAACATCCAAAACAAATTAAAGATGTCACTAAAAAAAATGTATCAAAATTAAGATTTTTTCCCCTTCTTTTTTTTAAGGTGTTTTTTGTTTAGTTTTTTATTTTGGCCATTTTACTTTTAGAAAAAAATACAACATTAATATGTGTGTGTGTGTGTGTGAGAGAGAGAGAGACTTTAAAATAAAGAGCCCACACTTAAACAGAAGAGAGAAAAATATAATCAAAGGTTCTTAGTAGCCTTGATGTTTACAAATATCAAAACTGGAAAATAAAAATAAAACTTTAACATTTAACTTATTTTAAATAAAAGGAAATGATAAAAGTAAGGAATATGGAAATACACAAAGACAAATGTGAAGTGAGGTTAAAAAAAGACTACATCACTGACATTAACAGAATTAAAATTTAAAAGATCAAAGTCACGGCACTCACACACACTAATACACACCGGGCTTTCCACTGCTGCTGGTGAGCTGGACAGTGAAGTGTGTGTGTCTTAAGTGAGCGGGGGCGGGGGGTAGGTGATTGGGTGGAATTCACCAAGTTCACGGTCCTGTTACGGTGAGGATAAAGCAGTCATTGTCTCTGCTCCTTATTTTTTTCTCAATTCTAAATCAGACTGAAGGAGACGGAATGAACCTGCGTCCCACAAAAGTCCACCCTGACTCTGCTGCTGCTGCCGCTGCTGACCGCGGTCAGCCTGTCCTCTAATGAACTCCACTACGTGGAAGCCTTTTCATCTCTGGGCTCATTTGGACCAGCCCTGGTCACAAAAGACTATTGAGAGCCACCAACTCACACACAACACAAAGACCCTAACTCGACCTCCCCTTCATCTCTGAACACCCATCACCATACACTCCCCCGTTAGTCACTTTGGTCTTCAAATCACCCCCCCACCCCTTCTCTTCATTTTCACAGCCACCACACAAACATACAAACACCAGTGTGGGGTGGGGTGGGGGGTTGGGAGGTGACCAAAGGTCGAGCAGCCCCGCTGACCGCAACACACTTCGCTAAGCTGCCTGGCACTGCAGCTCGTCCCGGGACAGCATCGCTACTGCTGTTGAGATGTGTGAGAGACGGAGGAAAGTTAAAAAGGAGGACGAGAGGGGCAAAGGGGGGGTCGTATCCTGGTGCGATGTAATTGTCGCAACAGCGCCGGCGACTGTTTCTGATGTGTTAGAACTCAGAAAGTCAGAAAACTGTCCCGTTACACAAGTTCTCTGATAGAAGAAAAAAAAGAGGAGAACAAGTGGAAGAGAAGAGGAGTCTCAGAACTGAGCTGGGATCCGTCCACTAAATGGACCACGGAGAAAAGACGGGTGCGGCAGGAAGACACAAATTCAAAGTGGATTAAAAGTGGATTAAAACTCCAAAAGCTTATTTTTTCGAGGGGAGAGGGTCGCGATATTAAGACCATGAGCAGCAGAGAGAAAACGATGGGGTCGTCAAACAGAGAACATTTTGGGGGTTTTTAAAAAGAAAGAGAAATCAAATGTTTCTGTCCAACTCACCATCCACCAGGTCCGGTTGGTGATGTTGTAGCACAGCTGCCATTTGATGGAGCTCTCTGAGGTCTTCACTGCCATGACGCTGCTGTCAGCAAGCTTCATCTGATGAGGACGCGCTCACAGCAGATAAGATGACGTCTAATTGAGGAAACACTTGCACTGGCATGTTGGGCAACATGTAGCCCGCTCTGTACCATATGGAATCATGGGTAAAAAAAAAAAAAAAAAAAACAGTCGACAGTGAACCAATCTCATGCAGACCCCGTGGCAAGGTGAGAGGCAGTCATCTGCTCAAAGGGAGAAAAAAACACACCCCCTCACTTACTCACTCACACACACTCCCTCCCTCCCTTCCTTGCACACACACGACCAAGCAAAAATGATGAGCCTTTTTCTGCTTCACTGCGCACCTCGGGTTGGTCTCCCCCCCAAAAAAACACATACACACGCTCATACAGCTCTCTACTGGTTAAATCATGGCCCATTTTCTCCATCGTCAGCAGCAGCAGCAGCATATGAACTCAACAAACTCCAAACAACTTTTATGGTCACTTAATAGAACGGAGGCAGGTAGACGGGGTAACAGGAGAGTGAGAGAGAGTGAGTGAGAGTGAGAGAGAGAAAGGGAGTGTTTGGGGGGCAGAGGAGTGGAGCAGTGCAGGGCGGTCAGTTCTCTGGACACATGGAACTGCTTACAGCCTATCATGCCATGTTTTGTTTTGGTTTTCCATCCATCCATTCATTCATTCATTCTCCCTCCTTAACTCCTCCATTCTGATTCTCCTCCACCTCTCTGCAGAAGAGCCTGAATCCCTGTGTGTGTTGACATAAATACCTCAAGACTGAAGCATCTTAAAGGAAGCCGTGCGAGATGCAGGGAGGGTAGAGAGCAGAGCCGTGTTGCCGCCGCCGTCGTCGTTCATACTCCTTGAAGACCAGACGCCAGCCGGACACCACTGGACGCCTGAAGAATGTCACGCTGTTCCATCGGTGAGTTTCCAGCACTCTTCTTTGCAGCAACAGTGGATTTCCACATCCTGTTGAAGATGTGTCGGAAAAGAATCTTATAAATCATCCAGGAATTTTTTTATTATTTGAAAATAACATTTTGAAAGTGGCTCACAGGTTTATTTATTCTTCTGTCCAACTACAGAACTACATATAAACTACATTTATAAAAATGCACCATATATTTACACATTTATCTCAGTGTGGAAGTGTGATGTAAAGTAAGTTACAGTTTGGGACAGATTTTAACAAAACAACTGTGTAACAAGAAGAGCAGAGAAAACACTCGACTATCTACTAAGAGTAAAAAAGTAATAAACTTGACAAAGGTTATAAAAGTGTCCAAAATGAATTAATAAGTGAATGAAAAGTGATCAAATATGTTTGGTAATATTTAACTAACAAATAATTAAATACATATTTTAGATTAGGAAGGAAGTGGTTCATAAAGTCCCCTAACAGATTAGCTAAAGACAGCCAATGGTTTCAAGGAGACGAATAACAACATTATTCCTATTAAAAGCACTGTAGGCTAATATATTTACAAATGAACAGTAAATGAATGATAAAGCATATATTATTTTTTCAAAAATATGTTAATAATAAAACCTAGCTACAATAACGATAATAATTTACTTACAAAATATTTAAAAAGAGTTGCTTACTTTACTGTGCAGTATTCACTTCTACCTTTATTAAACAGAATGTAAATATTTTATCAATGCTACAGTGTAACTTATTTTACAGCAAGTTATAATGACTACTTATAATAATAACACTATTACAAATAAGTCGGCATTTACGGCAAAGCTAAATGAAATGTGTGGTTTCTGTAGTTTTCTACAAGGAACTGTGACTGCAGACCGAAGCCTGGATTTTATTTTTTTTACTTTTGATGATAAGAATAAGAAAAACAATTTTTTATCAAAACCTGACTTCAGGAATTCTTCCACATCTTTTCTGTTTCTTTAGGTCAGAGTAAAATTAAAAGAGCAGGGAAGCTCCTCCTAAGCAGCAGCGGCAACAGCGGCAGCGGCAACAGCAGTGGCAACAGCGGCAGTGTCAACAGCGGCAGTGTCAACAGCGGCAGAGTGATCTCACCATGTTCTCACGTCAATAAACATGTGCTTTAACCTTGTAAGATCATTTCACTGTGTTTGCCCTGGAGGTAAGGGTGCAGAGACAGCCTGAGGGCATTTTTAACAGGGTGATGATGGGTTCAGGGGGAGGTGCTGGGGGTTAGGGGAGAGGGGAGGTCTGTGAGGCTCAGGTTCCTAATCAGAGAGGGGAATACCTGAACCAGGGCAGAACCACCATCAAACAGTTCTGCCATTGTGGAGGCCAAACGTAGGAATGTGATCGAGCCGGAGATAGAGAGGGGATGTTCAGGTTGTCTGACGGGAGTGGGGGGCAGAGGAGGGTGCAGTACAGCCGGTCAAGAGGTGAGGAAAGGTAAAGAGAAAAAAAGGGGAGGAGTGTATTACTGAAAAACTAGAAATTGTGATTAGTTTGTGACAACTGTTCCTAAATATGATTGATAGAAAAACATGTCATAACATATAATGATCTTTTTTATTTACTAACAATTATTTTACTCAGTGTGAAACAGGGCCTGTTTAGATGGACACAACATTGAGGTATTTGCAGGAATTGAAGAAAGACGAATGGAGCGCTTCTCCATTCTTCTATAATCAGTCTTTGTTTAAAGAGTCTTCTTCTGCCACCTTGTGGAATAGTATTTAATTGCTCTATCACGGTACATCTACAAATGAAAACTTTTCTTTCTGTAAGCACATTAAATAATGGTTGTCAGACTAATTGAGTGAATCTGGCTAGATCCATGGTACACCTGATGATCTCTCACGGCACACTGGTTGGGAATCACTGGTCTAAATTAACGTTTAAAATAGATTTATAATTTTAAAAAAACGTTATTTAACCCTAATGGCCAACCGAGCAGTTTGAACGATGGCAACTCGGAGCGAACAAAGTTCAGTTCAGTCCTCAGTTTCTGGTTTAGTTTTGAAATGAATAAAAATAGATATTGCTAGTAAACTGATTTAGTAGTAAACTAGTAAACCTTTAATATTACCAAGAACCAAAGAACGAAGTTATCGCTGATGAACTGCCATGGACCACTGATAAACTACAACAGAACATGGTGCCACCGTCATGGACGCTGTAACAGACACACAACTATAAAAACAACTGACGCCGAATGAAAACATGTAAATTGTTGTTGATATTATATAAATAAAATGCTATATTTTGTATTTCTACACATTTTAAATCAGCGAATGTTTTCTAAAACGCGACTTTCCTTAAGGAACTTTTGCAAATAGAATTAACATCTAAATTAACTAATCTTTTTTTAAAAAAAATCTAACAACCTACATTAACATAAATGAAATGGCAGTGACATTTGCTGTTACTTTTCGGACTACTTTTCGAATGTTCTTTTCAGACGAATGATTGAAAAAAACGCCACAAACGCCCACCATTTTGGACAACTATTAATAAACATGTTTATTTAATTCAATATCAGCTCTGCTCAGTGAAACTCAATATTAACAGTTAGTTAGTATTAAAAAATATATCACTTTACGAGTAAGAAATGTTAATCTTTGGTCATTTTAAATTAGTTCTGTATTAAATGGTGCCACTCGTTTAATGTCGTTTTTCAATGTTATTACTGACAGTTGTTTGCGACGGCGGTTATAACGTTTATCTTGTTTTTACATTAATTTACTAACACTGTCAACAAAAGTGTGTCAAACGTTTTATCTCTACATTTCACAATACTATGACGTGTTTCAGAATTTTACCAAAATGTCCTCCGTCGACGGCGTCTCTCTGTGCTTCAGCTGCAAACTGTGTTCAGTGTGAAACCTCCATTTCACGTCATTTCCATTTATTTAAAAAAAAAAAAAGATTAAAAATCCAGGAGAAATTATTTCAACTGCTCACGTTTGACCGTGTGGCGCTTTGGCCCAGAGGCAATGTCTCTGTCATTGGTGTGGAACCCCAGGGTTCACCTCTTGGGCAAGTTCGAATCCCGGTTAGGGCGGTTGGTACGGTGCATTTTGTCAGGCCACCGCAGGAAGTGAACAAGTGACAGTGATGAGGAGCCTACGGAGAAAGTCACTGACGTTTCTTTCATTATTTATTTATATTATTATTGTTTTGTCTTTAAATGACCTGCTCTGTAAATGCGTCATTTAACGCCGCAGTGTATTTCAGTAGGTCCTCATAAAGCAGTGTACTATATGACAGGCTTTTGGCATCCCACACAGTGGGTCCCAGAATCTAGGCCACAAATCTCGTCTCAAACTGTATGGACATACAGCTGATATAGGCCAAGCTCCACTCACATGTGGCCCACTTTCTGGGTAACAGACATGAGCCAATAGGGTTGTAATTTATTAATGTTCTGATCCAAATAGGTTGCGTATTGTGTCACAGACTGGGCCAACTTTTTGTGCTATACTGAGATTACAAACAGTCGACTCTGCTGCAGGTGCTGGGAGTCAGCTCCCAGTAGGCGGCAGTGTAGTGTTTTCTTCTATGGGTATTCAATAAAACAGACTTCGGTGATACTTGCTCTTTATGATTAGAAAAAGAGCCAGTGACTTTTTTAAAAAAAAAAAAAAAAGCATTTATACTAACAATTAAGTAAAATAATAATAAAAAAACTTACTTTAAAAACATTTGACTATTTTATATTTACTTTGTAATATTCAGGGATAAAAGTTTAAACAACAACATTGTTATTATTATTTAATAAAGTCGTGACCCAAACTCCTGTTGACAGAATCATGCCTTGTTCTTCTTCCAGGTTAACCTGCTGCAGGACACCGCAGAACAAACCACGACATATTTCTCTGATTTATTTTCTAAATCTAATAAATCACCTAAATATGTGCATTTGACTTCCTTCCTTTCACTGACCAAAGAAAGAGAGAGAGAGACGTGGAGGGAGAGGAGATCTGATTGTGGACATCTGGTTTTCCTTTTCTTTCTCTTTAAGGAGCTCGATGGTGGCCCTGGGCCATTGAAGCTGCACGTTGCCACCCAAAGCTGCGTTCACCCACCCACCATCCATCCATGCTGCCACCAGCTGGGTCTTCCTACCTGAGCTCAGTGAAGCCAGAGTGACCCGATGAAGGGGCATTACCAGCTGTCCACAGTTGCCACATCAGCCACTTCACCCATGAGCTACNNNCAGCCACTTCACCCATGAGCTACATATTGTAGAGAAAAATCCTTCAAATGTGGGTCATAAAAATTAAAATGCCTAATTTTATTCCCCAGAACAGTTTCTGTGGCCAAACATATTTCATAATAGTTTTTAAAAAGTTTTAATATTAGACAGACTAGACATTTAAATACTAGACAGATGTGTGCCCTCTAATGTGGACTATCATGTAATTTCTTCCAAGCATTATTTGATGTGACCTAGTTTTTATCACCACTCACTGGGAGACAGTAGTAACTGATAATTCCTACTCTCCTGACATATTGTTGAATTCGGAAATTAAAATATTCAAAACTCAACTGATATGCTCCTTTCCTTCCGTGGTGAACGGTACCAGGACTGTGTTGTTCTTTTGTTTCATGCACACCGTTCCATCAGCAGCAGCGCATGTTCCCCTCCGCTGGTATTTTCAGTTCTTAATGTTCTGCAGTTGCGGCATGTGGACTTGAAGAACATGAGAGAATCTCTTAAATGGAGCATCTGACGAAAACCAGGAAGCCTGCGTTCCAAACAAGAGCTCTTTTCTGTTTTGTCCTCAGCCTGATTGCAGTCAGATGCCTTTGTGTTCCAGGTGGTTGATCCTGCAGAGGAGAAGCACACAGAGAAATAAAAACCATCCTCTCCGTTTCTCTGCTGCTGTCAACGTATATATGGCTCTTAGTGAAAAGTGTAAATAGGCCAAGTGTGTTTGGAATCCACAAGAGGAACTGATTATTCTCAAGAGCTCAGGATGAATCAGGACCATCTGACTCTGAAAGTGAACCAGATTAGAGCAGAACCACTGCTCCAGTCCACACAGTCACACTCAATGTGACCCACATCTTGGCCACACTTGAACAAAATAAACGAATGAAGAAGAATCTTCCACCATTAACACATTCTTGAAATACTATATATTAGTTAGATTAAATAAGATCACGCTAGCCTTCTGTGGCCTACATCTGGTAACTGGTAGCCAGAATGTGAGCCACCAAAGACTCTCTCTAGTCATAAACTACTTTGACCTATTCAAGTCTGCAAAAAAGCTGACAAATATTTTTTTCAGTTTCACTTCGTCAGAAGGATCTTGCAGGGAGCTAAAAGTCAGAACTGATGTTGGTTTCAACGGAGACCTGGCTGCAGCCTGCTGGACACGTGCTCTGGTTATTAGAAACACACCGCAGAACCTCCCAGCACCCAGGAGTTTAATGAGCAAAGGAAACAAATCAGTGCAATAATGACTTCATTGTTTTCCAGCAGGAAAACTGTTACTGCTGCTGCTGCTGTGTTGGTCTCCCACTTGTCTGGTCCAGGCTCATCTGACAGTGATTGAAAGACAAAAACATGATCTGTGGTCAGTTTGGTTTATCCTTACTCCACATGTCAGAGATAAAACAAAAACAAAAAAACAGAGTGATATTATATTATCGTGCTAAAGCTACGTCCTCCCGCAGGACAAGATCAAATCCCTGCCTGTGGTCCAGATCTGTACCCATTACAAAGGTCTGGGACAACATGAAGGGAAGAGACATCAAGAATAAGTGGCAGATTTCCAACACAAAGAGACAAAAAGTATAAGGTAAGACAAGTGTATTGAATGCTCTTCCACCCTGTACTTTACAGCAGGTAACAGGTCTGACCAAAGGGAGTGAATTTTTGGATAAATGATGGATGAGCTTCTCTTATTCGATGCTCTGTGGCTGAAGTCAGTCACTGCTGAAGCTCAGTGGAATAACCACTGAGGTCAGGATATTCTCAGTCTACACACACACACACGCAAGAAGTGTATGTAGGTTGTAGTGGAGCAGCTGCTTGTACAGTGACAGTGTCGACACTGATGTGTGTGTGTGTGCGTCTGGAGTTTTGTACATTAGCCATTTGGACCATCTGTCTCATTCAGAGCCAAGACGTTTGGCCAGGACGACAAAGAGCTTGGGTCTGGTTTTGAAGCTCAGCTCATTTCCTCTGCTCCATCACTGTGTTCCAACCTTGTTGGGTTTTGTTTTCTGTTCGTCACAAACACAGTGAAATTTGACAACAGAAGCACAAGCTGCTTGATCCTTTTCAGATCACAGTCCCACATATTTGTCCATCGTTTTTCTTATTTTTTTTTTCATCAAGATCCACCTCCAGATTTTGTCCCGTTAGTGGCATGTGGAACAGTCGACATGTTGTTGTCATTATCTGTCAGTCACTATCCATTAACTATCAGATGATTAGAAGTGGAAGCAGAATGATTTGGTCTGTGAAACAGCAGCAGTTGGCTGCATTTGACTGGGGCAGTTGGGGCGTCTGACACAACAGGGATTCAAACCAGCAATCCAACCTTTAACCACTAAGTTCCTGACTGTGTCAATGAAGCAAACACAGAGCACCTTGAATCCTTCATCTTCTGGTTAGAAATCAGATCTCTCTCTGTTATCCAGTATGCCACACTGTCCAAGGAAGGTTCAGTCCAAAAGGGTCCAATCAGATGCATTCATAATATTTTTGTGAGACTTATTAACATAACTTGAGAATGAAGTACTGTGGCTGTGTCATTGACTGTTAACATGCGTTTTAATGTACACACTATTTTGATTTGCCTTCATATACTGTAGTGTTGCCACTAGGGGGGGGCAGACATGTTTACAGTGAGAGCTGCCACTGATTACAGAGGAGAGAACAGAGTTTTTGTTTCACTTTTTAAAAATATCAGATCAATAACTTAATTAGTGGAAATAAAGTTTGTTAAACTGAGGTTAGAGACTCGAGCAGAAGTTTGTGTCTGTTTGTCTTGACACGGGGGCAGGAACTGTCACCTGACAAAGATGTTAAACAGCAGACAAACACCTTTGTGTGCAGATTAATGAGGAGCTCCACGTGTGCATGTGTCCTCATCAGTTTTGTTTCCCTCACAGCACTCCACGCAGAGTCCTTGAAGGCTATTTATACCCTGTGACCTTTAGCCGTGTCTTAATGGATTATCAGAAAGCACTCATCAGTTGTGCTGGCTGAGGGCTGACGGTCACGTTGGCACAGAACTCTGAAGTTTGGAAGTGATTTGTTTGTTGGTTTTCCTGCTGCAGAACCTAGAACTAGGCACGGCAGTGTCACAGTTCCCTCTGAACGAAGCCTGAAGACACTGGAGCTGCAGCCAAACCATGCCGCTGCCAGCGGTGCCACTGCGCTTCACCTGAATCAAGATATTGGACGATTTGTGTCGACGTGCGAGTGGACAGACGGAGACACACAGGCTGGGCTGATGTCTGTCCTGGCACATCACAACCCATCACAAGAAGGAGCAGTGCGCGGCGGCCAAGCCCGTCATTCTCACGTCCTGTGATAGCCAGGAGCCCTCCCCCCAGCAGCTCCACTCATTTCAGCTCTGATCCCCGTCCATCAGCTTCATCTACATCTGAATTAGGGCAGAGCAATATGGATCAAAAGTAATATTTTTTTCATTTTTATTTTATTTATATTTTATATTACCTGCATTTTCCCCTTAAAAAAAATCAAACAAACTATCAATTATACGTTTAAGCATATATTTATAAAAAAGTGTAACTGTATAAAACAAATTGAACAAAAAATATTGTCCAATATATGAAATAAAAGAAAGGAAGAGAAGAAATAGCTATGACCTTCTGACCCAGTTAAACTATTTTAACACAGAAAATATATATTAATATAATGCTATTTTGTGATTAGAAGCATATCGATATATAATCCTAACTCTAATCTCCATCCTTCTACCAGCACACTCAGATCACCTCTGGAAGCACCAGCCTCACTGACAGCTCCTTAAAAAAACCATCAAACTCCTGACTCCACAGTGAAGTAATTTCAAAAGCACCAGTTCAGACCTTCATCCCCGAAATCTGAGCCATCTCCACCAGGTACTTCAAAAGCTCTCTCTTTTTTTCTTTTTTTACTTAAAAGCTACAGTACTGAAACATCACAGACTGCTCCCGTTGGTCAATATTGATCAAGACCTTCTAAAGTGTCTCATCTCTGAGGCTGTAGCCTCTCTGGCTGACACTCAGAAGGTTGGAGCTCCTCACCTCCTGAACCTCTGCAGGGTTGAAAGTCCTCACCACCATCATTAAACATTAGTTATGTTTTTAGAAGAACATGTTACTGACTTTTTTTCTACCTGGGTGCTCGAGGATATCTGGTTTTCTGCGTTCCCTGGAATATAAGTACTGTTTAGTACTCGTCACACTGCTCCTGTTTAACAGATGCAAATTTTCAAAAGTTTCAAATATTTCTGTGTGTTTGCTGTATGTACAATGTAGTGGTGGGTTATTGTAACTACACTCAACTCATGATACGATCTGCAGTTTAATTTTTTTTTGAGCTCCAGAGAAATTAAGATCAATACCATGATCCTCTGTTTATAAGAACTCTGACCCTGAATGTCACTTCGTCGTGGTCGTATTGGTTTAATAGAGAGTCACAAGCAACATTTTTTGGCGCATACTGCCACTTACTGTAATCAAATGGGTAGTGTCATGGTATGACCAGTGACTTTTTGAGGTAACGCAGCCTAATCCTTACACCTTGATGCAAGATTTATTTTTTATTCCAACCATTAAAATTGTCACGAAGCATCCCTTAATGACACTTTTTTAACAAAAGCCATATTTGATACAAAAAGAAAGGTTCTTCCGTAGGTAATCTGACATGGTAGCTTTAGTCTGCGTGTGCGTGTGTAGATACAGCTAAGAGCAGGGGAATTCAGTGAAAGCTGGATCTAATGTTTCCCCCCTCCTGATATAATGCCTCCTTTGTTGGTCCAACAGATTAGAGAGTGGAGATGAAGTTCACTAAATACCTGCTCTCCCCTGAGTGAACCACCTGAAAGCTCACTTTTCTTCCTCCTTTCTTTGAAATGCTCCTGTGGAGGCAGCGGCGGCGGCTGCTCCAGGCCTGGAAGGCTTTTATCTGCTGATACGGCTGAAGCTGGCAGCCTGTTGTCCACAGCTGAAGTAGGTCGTCCAGCTCCACGACGACCTTCTTTGAAACCTGATCCCAATTGTCGACATGGAAACTGTTCCTGTACAACAGTACGTTAGTTCTAGCATTAGCATATTTACTCTCAGACCTTCCACATGTTTGATATTATTGAACTTATAGAACATAAACATTTTGGTTCATCCTATACATTTTGCTGCCTCTTCATTCATTACCTCTTCAGAGTTACACTGATCACAATGCATTACAGTGTCATATCATGGTTCTCAAATGTTTCTGTAGCGCCCCCCTCCCCCCTTTTGTAGATACACCCTCCCCCAACGTCAACACTTTTGCTCCTACAATACTGCTGTTCGCACTCAACAAAAAAAAAAACTTCAGAACAATAGCTTTGCACACCCTAGAAGGGTTCTGTCCCCTACTTTGGGGCAATATTTCCAGAACAGAGACAGTGAGACACTGTTCTGTTCCAAATCATGATCTGTGTGCCAAAGATCTGAAGTCTTCATCTATTATCCATCCAGGAAAACACAATCTATAAAGAAAACAACATTTTTAAATTTTGTTTTCTTGGTATTGAAAAAAATGATCATATAATTGTTTGGAATATTTGAGGAAGCAGATTTAAAAGGTTTTTTTTTTTTTTTTTAAGGCAGAATAGACTCTCCTCCTCCTTCTCTGAGGTTGCCGATCCTTCCAAAATTCATCTGGTCCCTGCTCCTTCTCTGAGGTTGCCGGTCCTTCCAAAATTCATCTGGTCCCTGCTGATGAATGAAGACATTAATTGAAAATGGTCACAATAGGAGTTCCCAACATGAGGCTCGGAGCTGTGCCAGTCAGATAAAGAGGTGAAAGAAAAATGAGACGCTGGGAGGAAAAATGGAGACAAGACTGTAGGAGACAGGGAGTGAGGAAGGAAGGAGGGGGACAGGGGCAGAGAGGACAGATCGAAGGTGATCTCTGGTTATGTCTGTTAACTGTGATCATGGAAACGTTGTGCTGGTTGACTGTATGGACCTGAGAAAATCCAGGAAACTTGATTCATTTATTTATTAACTACAAAAAAGGTTTCCACAGTTTTGGCCTGGGGGGCGGCACCTTGATCTCTTCATATGTTTTCACTTCTTTCCGTTTGATTTTCTTTATCTTCTTTATCTCATGTTGCAATTCCACCAGTATGTTAATTTCCCCACAGCTGGAACATGTCACAACACTGTCCTTCGCCCAGATGCTGCTGTTTTAGCTCCACCCTTGAGTTTATCGTGAATTCTGACCATATCGTGTCAACGCCACGCGTGACTGCAGGCTGTGATCTCTGAACACCAGCAGCTCCGTCCACATAATCTCTTCTGGAGTTAGAACTGCACACCCCACCCCCCGGCTTTAAATGCTGTTTAACATAATGAATGTGATTGTCCCACAGAGAGGCTTCGTTTGTCTGAACCTCTCCTGCCACCAGGAATCACATCATCTGGTTAACGGGTGTAAACAGCTGGATGGACAAATCTCCTCTTCCTCTGGTGTTCTGTGGATGAGTCCACATCATCCTCGGGGCTGGGCAATGACACGAGTCCACTTACTTCAGACTGCTGTTCCCACTCAATGGCAGTTTCTGTGCAAAACTTGTTACATTTATAGAGAGCGTGTGCATGTCTACAGTAGGACTGTGTCAAGAAACTGGAGCTACTGTATATATGATGATACGGGGCAACGATACAACATATTATGATTTATTGCAATACTAAAGGCACAACGATATATTGAGGGTTTTTTTTTTCAACAATGTAAAGTTAAAGTGTCATCATAGTAACTTATCTGAACATCAGGTTACTAACATTGGAACAGAGGGATCTACATTTGAAATCACTAGAGAAGAAAGAAAAGACAAATAAAATGAACCAACACCAGGAATATTTGACTGGGAATAAAAAATGCATACACTGATGGAGGATATTGATATAGTATCGTATAACAAAACTCCCTGCTATTTCAATGTATCAATATTACCTTACACCGCAGTCTACAGCAACATAAGAAACTGAGCAGTACCAAAGGATATCATAGGGACAGTGTTGAGCAGTATAGGTCACGTGTCCATAGAAGGAACAGCAAGAAGAAGACAAGGACAGAACAACAGAAATGTTCAAACTGCAGAGAAGAATTCTCCGTGATGTTTGCCAAAAATTCACTTATTTACGCAGCTAAAGTGAGCAGAAATTGATTTTTGTTTTTGATTCACAATTAACTCCTCCTTTATGCTCATAACATCTTCAGAAAAGACAAGGTAAGACCAGATGCATCTGGTGAAAGTGGACATTACATGTAATCAACAACTGGGCCATTCAAATGGACACTATACACAAGGTCCACTATGTTTTATTGACTTTTTACCTTTAAACTGGATCCTTTTTGTATTCTGTTGAACACAGCATGTGAATCTGTTTGTCTTTCATATGTAGACAACAATAAATGAATTTCCTCAAACATCCAGGGAATTATTGAATTTTCTGAAGGCTCCACCTTATATTCTGCTAGAGATACATCAGAATGTTGCTTTTCTGTAAAGACAGCACAGTGCAAACATATGTGGACCACCCCCACATCCCCAGTCCCCCACCAGATGTTTGACTCCAGGCTACAACCTGCTGTACTGCTGCTGCTAAACTAACCAAATTTGGAGAACCCCAGGGTTTTGTCCAGGGCTGGACGTTATAGTCACTGGTGAGATATTTTTGTAAAAACCTTGGATAAAATGACATAGAGAAGAATCTGTTTAAGCATTTCATGTCAACTTGATGTCCTTGTCAAAACACATGACATGTTGATTAGCACTGACGCAAGAAATGATTGAAAATGATAAGCCACCCATGATTGTTCTCGGAAAGAAGCAGAAGTGATCAGATTCCATTTCAGTGAATGAAAACAAGACAATCTAAATAAAACGATTATTGGGCCAATCGTGTGATGTCAATGCAGTACACTACAGCGGTGCACTGCCTATCCATCTGCAGCCTGATGTCACACCACGTCCCTCAGTGTCCTCCACTCCCAGTGAGGACAGATGAGCAGATGAGCAGAACAGTCTGGCAGCCATTCTACTGGGTTCTCCTGAGAAGGAGAATTATCCTGCTAATCTACAGAGCTGGACACCACAACATCTCCAACAAAACCAAACAAACATCTGGAGGAAGAGCACATCAGCACTGAGGATGATTATTTCCATCACTGATCTTTAACCTGCACATGAACAACCTACAACCTTGTTAGTGCAGACACATCATTAGTCTGACACTGCTCCACAGTTCATCATCCAACACAGACCAACCTTCTCCCAGCAGCAGAGACACTAAGGCAGTGGCTGCGGCTCACAGTGAGGTAGAGCTTCAGCAGACTGAAAACAAAGCTTGGCTCCGTCCTTAGATTCCTGTTTCCTGAGGTCAGTGGACAGAGTGGTACTGATGGAGGCCGACCAGGAGCTGGCTGTGAGGAGGTGGACTCTGGATGATTTTCTGGAAGGCTATAGTTCACACTTTATCACTCAAAAAAATAAATCCTACCGACAGACCATGTCATCTCTATGGATAAAGCACTGAAAACTGTCAGTCTGACCAAAGATTCGCACAACAACTAAAAATATAGACAAATCAATAATATCATTCAAACATAAAAAACATAAAACCAGAGCAGTAGCAACCAATGACAACATTCAAAAGCTAAAGAATAAAAGTGGTGGGGGTAAGAGGGGGCGCTAAATAAAAGGGCATACAGTAGGGGAAGCAGCAGATCTAAAAATCAATGGTTTTCAGCACTGTGGTAACGACTTTACTTTTCTATTGTGGAATAAATTACCAGTCGAAGAGCAAATGACAAAAGAACTGTCCAGGGTGCTGAAAGTGAATGATAGGTTGATTTGGTGACAGAACTTAGTGTAGTTTTATTTACTTTTTATTTTAGGCTGTAAAAACATGACGTGTTCAGAAACAAAATATTTTAAATCAAGAGAAAAGTGTGATCTGTGGTGGCACTTAAGGAAGAGAATGAATAATGTTCACTTCTGTAATGAAGGGATTTTAGTGCCAATAAATTCAACTACAACCAGATGAGGAGTTGAGGAGGGTGGAGACAGAAAATGGAAGAAGAATGAAGGCAGATGGAGGTACAGACGGAGGTTTAATGAAGAACCCTGTCAATGAACAGTCAAAACTGACCCTGTAGAGATAAGTCTGTCTCACAGCAGGATTTCTGTTTTCATGATCCAAATTACTGATGTTTGTATTTACAGTCATCACTGTAATTGTTAAAAAACGACTGATTAAACCTGAGCTTCACACATGACTGAAACGCAGCAGAAAAATGTCGTGCATTAATGTTAAACAATTCTAGTCTGCAGGCAGTGGCTCAGACCTGCTTTAAAATATTTAAATTCAGTCTGGAACCCAGCCACCGGGGCTTGTTGTCAAATCAGTGCGTGCCCCGCAGGTCTGTGCCACACACCACTTTATTCCAGCTCCAGGTCAGATACTTTCCTCACATGTAAAACTGAATGTAGACTGAACATATTTGAACACTTTAATGCAGAGGAGCTGGGCCAAATCCCACCCGCAGGGTTGGATGTGCATGTGAGAGTCATCCGTCATCGCCTGTGACTAGCACCACCTGCTCGCTGGGGACGACAGTAAGAAGGCAGTCCGTGATTAGCACCCGGCGCTAAGTGCTGTGACAGAGGGGCCGTTCAGGGAGGAGGAGGAGAAGCTGGGAAAGGCAGGGTGAGGAAGGGGGTTCTGTCAGGCGACAGCACTGATTAGTGTAGATTAATAGTACAGTTAATAACATCAGGGACTTTTCCTCCGTGTCACCAGAAAACACTCAGCCATTAATGAGTGCTTTAATTACAGTCATTAGCCTGAGTGTGTTCTGGTCTAAACAGTTTGTTTGTTTCCATCACTGAGACAGACATAGGTCGGAGCAGCAGGAAAAGGACGGGAGTAGATGTGAGACGTGTTCAGATACAGAGGTTTGTTGGGTTTACTGAGACACTCTAGAACTTTCAAAAAGCTTGTGTCTCAGGTCAAGGTCTCTACAATCTTCAACTCTGGTTTCAGTTCAAACTATTTTCCTCTATTCTTCCTAAAAAGATCCAGAGGAGGAACTTCATTATTGTGTAGTTCAGGTCACACACTCACAGTCTTAACTCTTAAAGGCCATAGAAGTTGTTATGAAACAGAGCAGGTGTCCGCACCATGACTTCACACCGACCAAAACAAAGCAGACCAATAGAGAAAAGGAACTGGAGTTTGTTCAGAGCAGACCACACGGCTCTGGTGAGAAACTGCATCAATCTGAAACCTGGTGTTGCAGTACCTAAGGCGAAGATTCTAGCTGGGTCCACTAAATTCCACCCAGACCAGAATTGTCCATTACTTGACCAGTCCAGGCCTACTTTATGATCTATTTTACCAATCCTTTGGACAATATCTCCACTATCTCCACTCAGCCAACAGCCACGAAATCTCCACCTTATTTACTTAATTTTCAAAACACTATGCCATTTTGTCAGCTTGACACTGATGAGACAGCACCATCACCTTCATGGTCCATATTGAAGTCCAGGACCATCACACTCAGACAAAGGGTCCAGGCTGGACACAAGCATCTGCTCTGTCTCTTCACTGCCAGACGGGGAAACACTTGGCCAGCGTCATCACTCTCATCATGACTAATTCTTCAATAATTCACACTCACACTGCCATGGTCCAATCATTTTCACAACGTGAGACTGTCTCCTGCCAACAGAACCCACCACCCTCACCACCGGTCCAAGCCTGATTGAGTTTTGGCCGATGTTCAGGGACCAGGATCCTCTTTTGGGAACGCAGCCCAACATGTATCTTTCCCTGCCATTAATGGGAACATTTGGATCCGTGACCAAATGAGCTGTCCTAGTCCAAGTTGCCCACAGCAGGGGGCCACAGGGGGCCCCTTGAGATGATCAGCAGCATCTTTGATGTCCTGGTGTGAATATGAACGGACAAACCACACAAGAAGATAATGACAGAAGAGCCACAAACACCCCTGGATATAATGATAAGCACTTTTGGTCTGAAAACAGTTATTTATTTACTGCATGTTATTGCTACAGGACTGTTGATTCTCATGTCTTTCATCATTTACTGTGAGTTCATCAGTGTTGCATTCAACTAAACAGGCCCAGGTTTTACACTGACTAAACTGTGAGTAAATTCAAACTAGAGCATCGTTATATTAAATTACGTATATTTCTGTGACAATTTTGTTTGGTGGTGCGCCATGGGTGTTTCTCGTGACTAAAAAAATATTTTAAAAAAAACGAATAAATAGACCAAATATTGTGCAAGACCCTTGGACGCTCTACTGGGGATGAACTGGTGATCGTCATCTTGCTGTTAGGCAACAGCACTTCATTAATACATTGATAAAAGCATAATATTAAGAGGAATATGTAACAAAACAACCTGCTGAAATAAAAAATAAAGACAGCAGTGAACTGGTTTTTAATGAGGAGATAAATACCAGTTATGGCCCAGTCATCCCGTGAACACATTCTGACTCAATTTTTGTTGGTCTGTGTGAAGTCTACGGTTCTACAATTGTCTATTATATTCAGCTAATCACTGACCTGAAGACGACACTTTGTGTCTGGAAGTCTTTTTCTTGCAAATTAAGGAACAAAGAGACTTAAGGATGAAACTGTCCACACATCAGCACCCCTGCAGGTTTGTGATTCACATTAAACAACATCATTGTGTGAAGAGGGGCGTCTTCTGTCTCCTGGTGTGTGTGTGTGTGTGTGTTCAGCTCCAGACGGCAGGTCACAGCCCTGGTGTCCAACTTCGTCTGACTGATGTGTCCATTATGAGAGGATAGTGACACTGAGACCAAAGCACATAACACAGTCTTTTACTGAGGACAGCTGATGTTCTCCAGCAGGTTCTGAAGAATAAAGGATGGTGGGAAGATGGATGACCCTCAGTCACTGGTGCGGGACTGTCACACACTCAGACACACACCAGAATAGATTCCAGCTAGCTGGTTGGCAGCCGTGTGCTGCTGACAGTTGGCAGCAGGTAGCGTGGCTCAACAACATGTTCAAGTTTGACAGTTTGGGTTGGTGTGTGAGCTGGTGGGCTTTAAATATACTATGTATACATATAGTAAGTAATATATCTATCTAAATTGCAATAGGTTAAGGGAATGGGTGGATTTAAAAGCTTCACTCAAAGTTTAAATATCAAGAATTTGTTTAGTTCAAAATTAGACTCTAACGTTGCATGAGTCTGTTCAGAAGCTTTGAATGTGTTCACAGGTTTTAGATCTGCATGTGTGCATCATTTATTGGTGTGTGTCTGTGTGTGTGTGCCAGTGTTTGCATGCGATCCACCTCTGCCTCAGATCAATTAAAAATGTTGAATGAATAAATGAGAGGTGTTTCTGGGCCGTTTAAGCTTCAGTTGTCCATTCAAGTGACAACAGCCACCAGACTCTCTGGCAACATCTGGTCCCTAACCCACACCCACACACCCACCTAGGCCTCATCTATGTATAATAGATGTGCTGGCCCTGAACAGTAGCTGCGTGGAGTGGCCTCAGGTGAGAAGAGTCATCTATGCTCACTTCACTGCCCCAGGATCTGGGACCTCAGGAGCTATAGTTTGAAGAACTTTATCTGGTCTGGCTTGTCTCCAAGGTGTTGGAGAACATGTACAAAAAGAAACACCAAGTGTTTTGATAAGTTTGATTAAGATGTTTTAAAAGTGGGCAACATCAAAATGAACAACAACTGCAAACTTCTCCACTTTAACCACTCCACCACTCCCTACAGTCTATGATGTCATCTCTCCTGGAGGTTCACTCCATATTCGTTTCTAATTCCACCTTCAGTTTGTGAACGTTTATTAAAATGGTCCGTCAACATAACTGAATAAATATGACCGTGTTTCCATCAGCTTGCATGAACTGAGGTGAGTCCAGAGGTCACTGTCCTTCATCGAAGATCTAATCAGCAGCAGTAAACACCTGTCGGACTGACTGACAGGAAACTCATTGTTTCTTTCACAGTTTTGACTCTGACTCTGGAGTCACTGTTGGTTCTTCTTAGTTCATTACATAAATTACCTCTGTTTTACTAATTATGTTTATCTTTGAGTCATTCCTTGCAGGGAAACATGAATTTCTGTCACTGACATTCTCATCCAGCAGAGGTCACACAGAGGTGGTGGAACTATAGGTCAGGACTAGGAACATCACGAAATATTAGGATTATCATGATTATTATACCTTAATTTATTTTACAACACTATGAATGTGTAGAATCACACAAACAAACCTTTATTTTCCATCTGTTGATGCAACATAACTATATACAAATATATACAACTCTATATATAACTACATATAACTATATATTTTTTATATATATGTCTATAAACAAAGTCAAGTAACCAAGAAAAATTAACATTTCCATAATCCATATTGTACTTAAACAAAAAACAAAAAACAAAAATGTGAAGGCTACAGGACTCGATCTTTCTGTAAAGTCAATGACGCGAATTATATTTACACTACTAATCATGTGACCCGATATTTGTATTTGTATCTTTAACTATCGTTCTCGTACACAATTCATTTTGAATGACATGCTAACATTTCATTTCCTATCAATTCAATGTTAGGTTAAGAAAACGTTGATGTAATTTAATCCAGTTCCGGTGTAGTTACCTTTACTTTGGCGAACAAAGTCGGTTGGTTGTCCGCAGTTGATATAAAATGTCGTATTTCCTCCTTTCACTGCAGTTTTTATGCTTCAAACGCTGTCAAGTCGTTATCCACGACGACACCTGGTCGTTCTTTCTGTCGTCAAAATAATTCCACAGGGAATAACTCTTCTTCTGCCTTTTTCTCCTCTTGGCCACGGCTCTCTGCTGCAACTTGCACGGACCGAAAACTCGGAAACAAACGCGGCAACTTGCGAATGTTGTGTAACTTTGTTTTCGTTCCGTTTGAGTTCCGCTTATCTACAGTTCCGGCATATTAATTCCTGACGGTATTCAGGAAACGTTACGGTACATTAACTCGAGTGCTTAATATCGCAAGTAATTGAGATATAGAGTAATCATGACGTATCCAGTCAGAAGTTTCCACAAGCTAAAGAAAAAATATTTAAATAATAACATAATACAGAATAACTGAGAATCTAAACGTCACTGAAAACGTTCTGAGAACGTATTTGTTTTTGCAAGTTTTTCCAGCGTAACTTTAATATTTGTTTTTATTCTGGGAATAAATCTAAACTAAATTACTGATGGATGGAGTAGAATTAGAATTTTTTTTTTTTTTTTTTTATTTACTGCCTGAAGAAAATCAAGAGTTATGAACTGAGTGTGGGGGAAAATGAAGAAAATATTCCCCAAAAAATAAATATAGAAAAATTAATGAAATCATAATTAAAGGTTTACGCAACAACAAGTGTAAATGTGAAGTCAAACAGATTTTAATTATAATTGTATTATTGTTATTATTTAACAACTAAGAGAGAGGCTGGAGAAATCCCTGTGTTGTAACTAAGTGTTCATGCGGGGGTGTTTTCAATCAAAACGTTTGGACAATGTGAGGACAGAGTGAAGGAGTTCAGTGTAAACGATGTTGTAAAAAAGGTTAAACAACGAGCCTGTGGTCAGGCTGGAGGACGAGGCTGCTTCCTGCTCAGCTCCAGGTCACGGAGCCGCAGTGTTTTTTGAAGAACGCTCAGGCTGTAATTGATGAAATGAAGGAGCTCATTAACATAATCAAGTGTTTTTATAGTCTGCTCTGTGAACCAGATAGCCCCAGAGCTAAGCCCCCTACTCCCCACCCCTCCAACATCAGTCCGTCCATCAGTCCATCAGTCATTCTGTCCGCCCTGTCACCCACCATCAGTCTCCACGGCCACAGGACGATGGTGGTAACCCACAGTGATGGGAGACTGCTCTAATATGTAAAGCAGGCCGTCTGGACCAGGGCCGAGCTGTCAGACATCACGGCTGCATGTAGCTGCGAGGGAGGCCGGCGCTCGGGTCGACCCAAATCTATGCTAATTTGACATTTCTAGACTAATTTGCATGTGTACACATCAAAGTTTTTTTCTTTTTTTTTTACTTCCTTCTGCTGCTGGAGACGTTCACATATGTAAACGGACAGACTGTAGCACAGAGTTCACAGACTTTAAAAACTTAAACAGATGTAGAGAGAATCAAACAACCAATCAAATCAAACCACTGTGTAAAAGGTAGAAAATAAATACATTGGAGCTTTTGTGGTTTTTACTGAGGTTAAAATGCAGCAGAATGATTTTCTGACATGGTCGAAAAAGCACAGATATAATTACATTTAAATAAGTGAACCCAAAATGAAAAAAAAACTTTTATTTTGAACGTTTAAACGTTTAAACTTTCATTCTTTCTCAGATAAACTTCGTGAAGACTGCTACCTTGTCCAGCAGACCTCTGTCCTCCTCCATGTCCTAATGAGGACAGAGGTTCTACACAGTCCGTAAACAACAGTCGACATGTACAGAACACTGGGACGTGAACAAAAACCTCCTGCTCTATTTGTCATCCAGCGACGTCCTTTAATTATAATCTTATTTACATGCATTTCCTGGTCGTCAGACTCAGAGTCATTTGAATATGACCTAAAAACCTCCTGACTGTGTTTGTTCCTTCACCTCTGCTGCAGACGACAGTGGACACGTCTGTGTAACAACGCTGTAGCTAACAGTCGGAGGCTGAGGTTTTAATCCTGTCCGCTCACGTTTGACCTCAGCACGAAGCTGCATCTGTCGTTAGAAACGTAATCAGCGCTCCGTCGTCTGTTTGACATTCAGAGGTTTTTACTCAGCTGCAGGACGACGATGCCTGCAGGCCACGGCTGCACTCACACACACTGAGAGTTAGAATTCATTAGGATCAGAGTGGACGCAGCCTGACGCAGGCTGTGAATGAGCAGCAGTGAGTGAGGAAACCTCAAAGTTTAGACGCACTGTGAAGTCACAGCTTATGTTTGAGCAACGGGTGAAGAAAGGTCTTTGATTGAAGGGCTGCAAAATCAGTGAAGTAGCCGAGGGCTGATGTTCAGTACAAACTCCATGGTATTTTATTTATGCAAATTCATCCTAGTTTTGCACACAGGTAAAAACAAAATCTGCTCCAGTGCATTTAGGGAATGTGTAGAAGATTCCAGAACAAGCTCAGCTGAAGCAGAAAAACTGTTAGCAGTATCCAACAGTATCACCTGAAACTCCTCTACTGCTGAAGCAGACTGCTGCACGCTCTGAGTCTGGATCTCTGTGCATAAAGTGTCGATCGGTGGAAGATCAACTGTGGTTTACCAATATTCTGATATAATGCAGTGACACAGGAAGTCAATCTGATGTTGACAGGAAGTCAATCTGAAGAATCGCAGAATCACTGCAGCTCTAGAAGTGGTGCTGTACAGTCTCGTCACAGTGACCAAACTCACCATGTGGCATTTTTACACCTTGAGGATTCTCTACACACACACACACACACACACACACACACAGTGCAGATTGGCACGGTGCTGCCGTTTACGGCTGCAGTG